GTAAGGTATATAGTACCATAATAAGGTATATAATAGTAATAAGGTATATAGTACCATAATAAGGTATACAACAGTAATAAGGTAATAATACCATAATAAGGTATATAACAGTAGTAAGGTATATAGTACCATAATAAGGTATATAATAGTAATAAGGTATATAGTACCATAATAAGGTATACAACAGTAATAAGGTATATAATACCATAATAAGGTATATAACAGTAATAAGGTATGTAGTATCATAACAAGGTATATATGTATGTTTTCTATTTAACAGACTTATGCTATTGGGCAAATGAGCATATAAGTGAAGAATTTGATAAAAATTAATGGATAACGATAAAAAAGAACAATAAAATTTGTAAATGACCTTAAATGACCTAGTTTTTTCTCTTTTCCTTTTTTTAAATTTATTTTTTCAAATTCTATTTTTTTTTTACGAAAATGTTTTTCAGATATCAATAATATAATTATTTCAAAAAAATATTAGTGATTAATATAAATCTCAAACCAACATCATTATTATGTATCAATTTAAGTTCCATTCCGATTTTTATTGGAAAATTTACAAATGAAATTCCGGATATGCTTATTTGATCATGTAAAACTGATCCTTTTTTTGTCTTCTTGTTCTATTTTGAAATGGAATAATGAAAGAATACGAATCGATTCGATTTAAGTTCCATTCCGATTTTTATTGGAAAATTTACAAATGAAATTCCGGATATGCTTATTTGATCCTATAAAAAATCTTAATAAATTTCATATTTAAAAAATAAATTGAAAAAAGAAGATTAAGGAAAAATGATAGTTAACCTGATAATAATAAGCTTCTTTGCTCCTCTTCTCATACTTACAGATATCCTCATTTAAGCGCTATTTTCCGTTATTCTTCCGTAACACCTGCACTGGGTAAAATGTCTGATGAAACATTTGTTGAACAAATAATACTGAGCGTCGTTAGCTTCTTCCATTCGACAGTTGCTTTCCTTATCATTTGTGTACTAATTTTAAATTTGATATTGTATTGTTTTATTAATTTTAGAAATTTTTAAATCATATCCTAATATTTCGGTTGTATGACAATTTGCGCATCACAAATTGTGACATTGTATATGACAATTTACGCATCATAAAACCAAAAAATGACAATTTACGTATGATTAATTAACTAATTACTCATATAATCTATTTTAAAAAATTCGAAAATTACTAATATTTCCGTATTATTTATTGTTTTTATTATTATTCTCCATAATTATTAATTTGTTATCAATTATTATTGTACCTGAAAAATGGCATAGTTTAAAATATTTTTAAATTATACCTTTTATATATATATTTAATTAAATTATTAGATTAATGAAAATACTTAAATTAAGATTATTATCAAATAAATGAAATGTTAAGAATTTAAATGAAGGAATGATTAAAAATTATCACAATGATAATTTCAATTCAAATAATAATACAATAAGCATTTAATGTCTAATTAAGTACATTCGAATCATTATGATAAGAAAAGTTATACGATTATTCGATCAAACTATTAAATATTAATCCATACCATTTCACACCTACTCATCAATGTAATTGTAGTTAATAATAATACAGTAACAGTGCTTGTTAAAGGATCCAATTTCCAATCTGTTACACTAAATGCAACACCTTGTGAGTATTTTTTTTTTTTTTTGGTTGACAAAAGACATTTTTACAGGTACTGAATTATTGCGCCAATAAATTCGAGAACATTCAAATGCTTTAGAATAGTAATTATCAAGTGAATTTTCCTTTTTTTTTTCTCAAATTCTTCTTAGTAAAAATAAAATTTTTTAGGATTACCTTAATAAATGCGTAAATTAATCAATCAAATTAATTTCGTTTTTTTAAATTAAAAAAAAAAACGCCGAAATTTTTTTTTAAAATTTTGATTAAAGCGAATTTTTTGATTGTTTCTATTATTTAATTTATGTTTAATTATATTGCTTAAAATCTGTAACACACCAAATAATATCTTTTTAAATAAAGAAACGAAACTTCATCAGCTGCTTTAAAGATAAATCAGTTGTTACTTTATAGGGACAGCTGTGACAAAATGTAATCTTACATATTTCAAATGTACATTGGACATATGTATGTATGTGTGTGTGTGTGTGTGTGTGTGTGTGTGTGTGTGTGTAGTGTGTGTG